ACGTGGTACATTCCCAAACGTTTCGCCGGCATCGTCAGTGAGTATCGCCATTCTTAGCACCAGACAACAACAAGGAGCGTCAAGGAGACCTTGTGGAAAATACCTAGTCCAATGTCCTCTACTATAATATTTTTGATTTCCAGCATTGGACCGTTGACTGGATACATTCCCAAACGTTTCGCCGGCATCGTCAATGAAAGGCGCCATAGTAAGCACAGAATTACAACTTTTATAAGTTGTATCTGACGGTGCCGGCGAAAGGTTTGGGAATATACCCAGCTAATGGTCCAATACTGTAAATCACGAATACTATGGCAGAGGACATGGGACTAGGTACGCTTCACAAGGTCTCCTTGAAGTTCCAACAAATTTGCGAAAACAAGGTAGAACCAACACAATAGGATCAAACCTATAAAACTCCTGAACTTAGGCTTATACTCCATCGGGCTCAGTATAAAATATAGATAAATGTTACCATTCGATCGGAGTTGGTGAAATTTTTAATAAAGCGATGAGTCCGTCGTTATTTAAAATTAGCCTATGGATCGCCTAAAATTTACAAAAAGGTAATCAGTCGGAGTGGTAGGAAAAAATAGATGCGTAAAGTATGAAAGCAGGGCTCACATGTAAAACAAATTAAGTAAAAAAAGGCATTTGATTTTCTAAATTATTAGCACGAAGAGTGATGTAATCACAAGAGTACTAGAACCTACAAAATCGATATTGCATGGTTTGGGATGAAGTTAGGGATAGAAAAATTTCGGTTCAGAAAGCAGTCTCATTTATTAAACATAAATCATATTTAGGTTTTGATATTAGATAAACTTGTCCAAAGGTTCCTCACTAAGTACACAGATAATAAACGTTTAGATATACCAAATAAAGGAGGATTTAAATATAAAATTCTTTCCGGAGTACATATAAGGCAAAGAGATTTTGAAATTCTTTCAAAGATGGTTTAATGGCAAATTAAGATATCAATGCTATTAGAGTTGTAATCGGACAAGAAATGAAATAAAAAACATGTCAACATATCGAACAGCAGAAACCATATGAGTGGTATAAAGAAACAGTGAAACAGAAGAATAAGATACGAAGACAAACTTGGTTTCGATGAATCTCCTGAGATAACATTGTTAGGGGGACCTTCATTTCGAATGAAAGTACATGATGAATAGATTCATTTGTCGTTCTCACCAGATGAGGACGGATGAAAATCGTTGTACTGCAGCCTTTTAGCTTTTAT